CCCCCCTTCGGGCCCGCCCCCCCCGCCCCTCGCTTCCCACCCTGAGGCTGGAGTCCGGAGAGCTGCCGCTCGTCCCTTGGGAATTTACTTCGAATCGCTTTGCTTTGCTTTTCCGAGAAGACCAGAAGAGGACTCGCGGAAGAAAAAGGCGGGGAGGGGCCCCGCCGGCGCTTTTCCCCTCCCCAGCAGGGTAAGCGGGGGCTCCCTTGGTGGGTCAACGGGCTGCTGCGGAGGCGGGCGGAGGAGCTAGCAACCCGCGCTCCTGAACCTTGATAGCCATTAAGGATTATTCCGGAAAAAGGAAAGGCAGATTTCCTGGAAGTTTCCCAGAGGAAGGAGGGCAGCCTCCTTCTATTCTTTGTCACCTGAGACACGGCTCTTCTTCCTCAGCATTTTAAGCAATGTACTAAAAAGAATAATGGCAGTATTATAATCGTAATCACAGTAATGATTACAGTAACTGGCAACACTATACTGTATAGTCAACATATGTATAGTTGTTAAAAGGTGTCGTTTGGCTCGTTGGACGGTTTTTTAAAATATCAGAATGTAATTGCAGAGATGGCTTTTCACAATGATCAAATGAATCTCCTGGTTCAGAAGCAGTGTACTTGTGGGTATGTGAATAAGATTGATCTAAAGTGATTGGCAAAAGCTATGAGTTTTTTTACTCTAGTTGTCTGACCGATTATGGAACCGGAATGCTATATTTTTATTATTCGTAATAATAATATTATTTATAAGATATGTAAAGAAAACAAGTCATCATAGCTGTTATAATCTTGTGTTCCCCAATAAGCCATGATGATCAGAACTTATCCTGTTGTGTGCCCAAAGTGAGTAAAAAGCTTCAACTTTCCCCTTTCCTTTCCTTTCCTTTCCTTTCCTTTCCTTTCCTTTCCTTTCCTTTCCTTTCCTTTCCTTTCCTTTCCTTTCCTTTCCCTTCCCTTGGCCACAGATGGGTGGGGGAGGGCACGTCTGAGAGAGAGATCAGAGGAAAGTGCCCAAAGTACATAGGCAATTCTGAAAGTCACCTTACTATTTTCAAATCAACTTATTAGAATGATTTTGTGTGGCTATTCAGTGACGTCACTACCGATGGATGAAATTCCGTGCGAAGCTTCTTAATTTCCTTCTTGTTGGCTCCGCTGTTCTCTCCTGGGAATTGTTGCTGCTACAGAATTCGCGAGAAGAGGGGAAGGGAAGGAATGGGAGGCTCTGCAGTCTGGCCCGGTGAGTGCTTGGTAGCGAACATTCTTCTCAGGCCCTATTTCCTAACTCCCCCCTCCCAGCTCCACCCAGCTGGCCCCCTTTCCACAGCCGGGACAGCTTTTTTCTCTTCTCTTCTCTTCTCTTCTCTTCTCTTCTCTTCTCTTCTCTTCTCTTCTCTT